GGTGCTGAGTGCTGCTGAGTGTTGCTGCGTGTGTGGGCCCCAGAGGCCTGGTTCAACATTCCACTGAAGGTTTGATAGACATAGTCCTTCTGGGAGGAAGAGGAGGGGAGGAAATGCAGCATCGGTCCACGCAGATGAACAACCAAAGGGGTAAGTGAAGCCCAGTAGTTTGTGTATGTGGATGTTTGTGTGTGCAACTCACCCTATACAAGCCCTCTACTTCCCATTTTGCTTTACAGCTTATCTCCCAAACTGCAAACTGACTTCATTTCCCATTCTCTTTCTCTTATATTATTCTCACAGAAACATTTTTACACATGCATGCGTAAATAAACCCATATTCATGAGCCCCATATCTCAAAATGTTATGCAGCCGAATTAACTTGTAAAAAAATAATATTAATGAAGATTTTCCCTTTTTGGGACAATTTGTAACTTGGAGACTATATAAGTAATATATTGGCATTTTGCACACTTTTATAAAAAAAGCTCTAAATCTCTCCTTTGCAGGTGTTTAAGAAGGTTCACAGAGCATGCATGTTAAACACTAAATATGCATGCACAGTTGTGCAAATGGAGGGAAAGAGGAAGTTATATAAAAAAAAAAGGGGATCCATAGAGAGGCGGCAAAAATAACAAGGTGACCATATTTGGCATGAGTTCAAATGCAAGCAGGAGATGCAAATGAGATAAATGGGTGGTTGTCATGGAGACTTGATGTTCTGCAGTGATGGCTTGCAGTAAACCTGACCACATTTGCGGTATGGCCGTTGCCAAGCAGACGGTACTATTATGAGAGTGTGAGAGAGTTAGAGTGAGAGGAGTAGAGGAAGGAAGGAATGAAGATGTCAGTTTGTCCCACAATGCATTGCATCAGCATGACCTGCATCAGAGTGGCTCGGTCTGTCCCAGTGGGACGTCAGCGATAGACAGACACGCAGGTAAAACTTCTGTCTATGAATCTATCGGTGGGATTTATGGCCATGTGCAGCTATTTCTTTAGCTGTTTAGTGTTTTTGTTTGTTGTCATGTTTTAGCTGCTCTCTGTAAGGTGTACGTGACTCTAAGATGAATGTTTTGTTTTTGATATTCTTCCTTCATTGCATGTAGAAGTTGGTTGTAAGGCGAGTATAGGGGTTCCGTATTTTATCTTCAGACTGAATAGGAGATAACGCTTTAGTGAAATCTAATGCAAACATGTTTTCATTTGCTTTTATGTTATATCCGCCAGTTCAGGGCTGCTCTAAAACACTGGGATATGGAAGGGGACAAGACAGACATTGTATCTCAGATCTGACGGTTTGAGCTGCACCTGCTTTCCACCACTGTATCATAATGAAAAAAAAAAAACAAGTTCAGAGAAAACCGCAAAGTATGCAACAGGCAAATGCGACTGCATTTCTGCATGAGACAAGGTGCATTTGTTTAACGTTTGAGCTCATAGGCAAACCATAAACATTTTTTGCTTTGGTCTCGGACGTTATACTTTTTCAGCTCGTAAATAGGGCAATTTTAAATTGAACACTGCTACTTTCTTCCCCATTCTAAATCATTGGGTTCTGATGGTCCGTAATGTGATTATAATGTGTACTTGGAGACCTTTTGACGGATGAGCCTTCGGAGTTTGGCTTACAGAAGCCCTGGGATGTTTCCTCAGACCAATGAGAGTTCACACCTGCCAACCAGTCATTTACAGAGCGCTGACAAATAGCTCAGCCCTGAGATGATATGGAAGCGTAAAATGGAAATTTATCAGGGGTGATATTAAATACGTCATGGCAGAAGGAGGTAAAGCTTACAGTGAGGACTTTTTTTTATTTGACTTAGATAAATAAGTCATTTTTAATATTAGGAACTTCAAGGTTTTGGAGCTTTTTTGTGAAATTTGCTCTGTAATTCATTAGCCAAATGTTGCAGCAGAGATGATTTCACCATAATGTATCTTGAAGCTAGGGTTAATGGAGCTGTTTTCTCAGACTTGCCAAATCTAACGGCAACACTATACTTCAGTGTTTATGTGCTGAGAAGTTAGCTATTTCACTTTTCTTCATGGCGGAATTCCCCTTTTAGTATACCACTTACTCACTTCTTCCTGTTTTCGGTTGGTTAACATTTGTTTGAGTGTGAACAGTTTTCTCAGACTCATTGTGATTATTCGCATTGCTGCTCGCTGTGTTGTCTCCTCCGACTCCATAGAGAAAAGTCTTGTCTGTAATGTCAGACATGTGGAGAACCAAAGATTAATGTCTGGTTGATTTTATGCAGAAAAATATATATAGTGTGAACCCAGTAAAGACATGTTTTTATTTTGGTTTAGTTAAACTTTTTGCTGATCCCAACTTGAAAATGCTGCAAGCCAGAAGTAATTTGCAAACCTAAGAAAAAAGCAGAATTTGTTTAACTTTTTAGATCTATGCTTGGACCTGTAGGGAAGTAAAACTGTGTCCAAAATATAAACCAGTTCTCCTAGGCTTAAAACCCCCTTACAAAAAAAGAAAAAATAGATAAAATGATAATTGTGGAATATATAAGTAAAGAAGCAAGATAGATGGTGAAAGATAGTCATAGAAATCAGAAGAAAGACGCAGTAGGGTTGCTCTGAGCTGCATCAGAAAAGGGGAAATTCCTCCTCAGTGTTTGAGTTTCACAGAGACTTCAGATCTTTAGAGCTAATGCTAGAATGTATTGAAGATTATCAATGTTTAAAATGAGGGTTTAGAAGGAGCTCTGCTTGCATCCGCAGCTAAACTTATGATAATTTTAGACAGTATTCCAGGAGGTTTGGCACTATTATATAAAGTAGTTCTTCTCATCACTACAAACTAACAGCTGGCATTAGATAAAGGAACAAATCAATCAATTATTCTATTTTGAAGAAGAAAGTATTTCACAATCTCTCTTTGCAAAACTATAATATTATTGTATTAGAACTGTGAGTCATTGACATTGCAGCTTAAATATCAAGAGGTATGGAGTATTTAAGGGACTGATTTGCAAAGATGACTTATGGTCATGGTTGGATTAAAGGGAGCCATGCAACAATGGAACGATGGAAAATGTCCCTGAGAAAATAAGACATTTCAGTCTCTCTTTCTGTGCAGCTCCAAAGTTATACATCAGCAATTAAAAAAATTATATATGTGATAAATGTATAACATGTAAATATTTACCTAACTCTTACAGTAGGTGAGCATTATATAATGTTCCACTCAGATTGTAATGTATTAAAGCTTCTATATTTGAAAAGCTGTGAAACATTGTAATCATTTCACATTGTAATTATTGTAACGTCACGTTAGCTGGAGCCTTAAGGCTTAAATTTACGCTTAGTCCTAAACCACAAGATAGACCTCCTATCTCAAAAAACATCCTAGCCGTTTATGCAAATGCTTATTGTGAGCCTCCTAACCAGACATGTTAAACTCTTAACTTTGAGGAGCAGTATTCAGAAATCTTTTGTTTTTCCTTCAAGTAACATGAATGATAAGATCTTTAGCAGGACCTTAAAAAAATGCAATGACATATGGTGAAGTTAATTAATCCTTTTAATTTGGGGTTTTTTTAAATGGGACACCAACCCATGATGACTGTGACAAATAATGCAAAAAGCACAAATCTCATAAGGTGAAGGCTAGTTTTATTTTTCACACTTTAATGACACAGTTGCTCTCCCCAGAAATGTTTTTTTTTTATATTTTGTCGTGTTTCACACAGGATGGTAAGTGGTTTCACACAACCACTGCCTCAGGTTAACATAAATAATCAGGGTATTTTGGGGCGTAAATAACCATCTAATGCAAAACCAAAATGGTACATTGCAGTTTGCGGTGCTATAGACAGAAAGTGTCCACTTTGGTGTTGGCCCCATTCAGAAGAGCAGTTAGATCCAGTTTTCAGCTTTAACTAATCCATGTTTAGGCTATTTGGAGAATATCGGAACATAACAAATTTCAGAATTATTTCTTAAAGCACATAAGATATTTTTTTTCTCAGTCAACTTGTATTTATAAATGTAGGGAATATTTCTTAAATAATTTTTTTTAAGTAAAGAAGCCTTAATATGTCATATAGAAACTTTGTAAATACTCCTTTCCACTGATCATATTCAAGGTGAAATGAGATTTCACAAGAATTTGCGTAATTAGCAGCAAAGCATTCTGTAGGCTCCCTACAGATGTCTGGGCCACTGTCTCCTAAAGCTGCCGGATATTGCAGCATCATAGCTAAATTCAATTTCTGGCTCCCCCAGTTGTAATGACTTTTCCCTGAATGAAAAGGTGGCAATACAAGAGATTTAGCAGCTTAGTTGCTCTTGTGTTTTTCCCACTTTGCTCTTTAAAAAGCTGCTGACCTGCATAAAAACTCTGCTATACTGACCCCCTTTTTTTTTTAGATCAGTGATGTTTTATATCCAGGAAGTATACTCGTTCACCTTTGTGTTTCCTTAAATGTATACCAGCAGCAGTATATCTAGTATATAACTACAGTGCAGATTGGGTATGCTCGGTGTACCGTGTGATGCTGTTGCAATGTCAGACTGAGCAGAGGGTTGCATGCTACAGCAGAAAAGCAGCTCCAAGGAGAAAGAGGGGAAGCCGGACAGAAGCCAGACCTATTCTGTCACACGCTCCCTGTAAATCTTTCCATGCTTGTTTCCTCCACACCCCTTTTGCTATTCATTCTTTCCAGCTGCCATTTTCTACCTAACTTTCCTTGTATTTTTGACCTTGTTTCTTCACATACGTCACTCGTAGTCTAACTTCCCCGTCGTGATATTTAATTCTTGATACCCCACTTCATTTTCCCTGGTCTTTCTTTGCATTTATGTTTATTTAGCTTTTCTTAATTATTCCCTGATGATTTTGTTCCTGCCCATTTCCTCTCTCCTTCCCTAGCACCACTGAAAAAGCTAGGGAAATGCTGCTCTAATTGAGCCAGTACTTCCTGGTGTTGTTTTAGGGAGGGGGGGCGTGGTCGGCTTGAGTGTAGATTAGAGGTAGGGAGAGGTAACTGCAGGATCTGTATGCACAGTGCAGTCAAAGCTCCCTCCTCTTCCTCCTCTTCTTCCTCCTCCACAGCTGTTGCTACTGCCGCCCAGCGAGCAGCTCTTTCCTGCTGCAGACAGACGACTCAGAGGCTGGGGAATCAGTAAAGACACAACCCAGCCCGTCTCAGCACAGCTCGCCACAGCCTGGCTCAGACACTCGAAGACGTTTGGGAGGGGATACACTGCAACGCATTCACCCACGCGCACACACACCAGGCTCTGACACACACTCCTCCTCGCTCACTCTCTCTCTCTCTCTCTCTCTCTCTCTCTCTCTCTCTCCCTTTGGTCCTCGCTTCTGCACTGCTCCTTCACTCATTCGCTGCTGATTCACTCACTCCCTCGCTTGCCTCTCCTCTGCGAGTCGCCCTGCCTTGCTGCGTTCTGCCTGCCTTCCCTCTGCCCGCCTGCCTGCCTGAGAATGGTCCAGCCGGTGCCTAAGGGTCTGCTGTCGCGGCCTGTCTGAATGCGTGCATAAACACACAGAGCCAGTCGTCACACGGAAGCTCACGCACACAGAGCTGGAGAGCAATGTGAGAGGTAAGAGCTGGGCTCACCACACTCCACCATATCTCATTGGTTTATCTAGATCTTTCCTCCTGTGTGAGCTTTACTTTGCAAAGTAAGTCTCCATGCAGCGGAGAATATAGATAGAGACATGGAGCCCTGTTTCTGTAAGTGGCTTCTGACATTGCTCTGTGTTGTAGCTTGTTTTATGGTCATGAGCATTCACTCACTGAAAGACACATTCTTGGCTCAAATCAGTCAAACTTCTTCCTGAGGGTAGCGCTGGTTTGCAAGAAAATATGCTGGTGTGTGTGAGAGGGAGAGAGAGAGACTTTGGAGGGCCGTGGTTTTTCCAGGAAGCAGTGGAGAGGATCAATAGATCGCCCACTCAGCGTTCATTCCCTCCATCTGACTCAACATTGGACATGTTAGGATCCTGCAGGGATTGGTAAACCTTGAGTCTGGTAACCATCTCCCTAAGCCCCCCCCCCTCCGTTCGCTGCGTCAGCCTAAAGGTGGAAAGCATGGCTTCACATCCTTGTGTGTTTTCAACATGTATGCAGCGTGAGCCGAACTCCCGCCCCAGCCTATGTAAATTTCATGTGACATGGGAAGCCGCCGCTACCTTTTATGGTGAGAGCTGTATTTCAGTACAGTAGAATGTTGCCAAGTATTTCGGGTCGCGGGAGGAGAAGAGTGTGTTTAGAGGGTGACTCTGTCTGTGGGAGTGTGTGTGTGTGTGTTAGCGTGTTTGTCTGTCTGAGTGTTTTCATAAGTCTGACAGCAGGCAAGTGACTAAAAGAAAGGAAGAAAGTTTAGAAAGGAGCCAGAGACAAATAAGAAAATCCAGTAACCAGGCGGGATTTTAGGTGTTGATGTTTTTACGGGAGTGAAAGTAAGTGGACTTTGAACTTTTTTAATGTTTTAATTGATTATTTGAGGGGTTTCTTGTCATGTTGTTCTTTTATGTTATGGTCATTTTTAGAACTTTGCGGCATTTGCTTTGCATTTCCCTTTTTAAATTCCAGGAACTCTCTGACACACTGCGCAATTCATTTGGTCAAGTCATTAGGTCTGGTAAAAAATAAAAAAAAATATAACTAATGTAGCAGATGTTTGTAATTTACTCAGAATTGAACTCTTGCTTCCACTTGTTTTTCTCCTTTTTTGTCTAAACTTTTAACCATCTCTACCCTCCTCCTGCAGGGTTGCTTCTTGGCGGTGTGTTGGGAGGAAAAAAGAGGAATGTTGTTGTTGTGACTGAGTTTGATTCATGGTGGCTAGTAGTCAAACAACTTCACTTTATGTACACATATGGACAGAAGTGTGATATGTGAGGTGGAGTTTGTATAAAAGCCCTTCCTGCATGTTGACCCGTCCCATTCACTGTGCGGCGGAGATGTCAGGGCAACATGCTGCTACTGTCGATGTAAATACATATATAAACAGGTACAGGCTCCTGTCCACTGATGTATGTCACCTATGATTTATAATCTGCCCTACAGACAGGATTATGTGGATGGCTGAGTCTACACTGACAGGCTAAGCCTTTATTACACGAGGAATCCTCTGCATGTTCCTCTGATGTTATGACAACAGTTTAACCTTATCTGAGTGACACTTTCCCAGAGCTTTTGTTGGGTAAGTCACTCACCACTTAGCACAAGTCCGGCTAAGCTAATAATAATAATTGAGTCCAACAGCTGTCAGAGGCGAGGAACCGCTCGGTATTACTCCTATAATTAACACGTCTTTAATCTTACATGATACTTATCTATTTCTGCCCTCATCAGCAGCTAATACTTTAGGAAGAGATAGACAAATCTAACAGTTAAGAGTGTTCTTTCATCTCGATTTTATATTGGAAAGTAATTATTAGGCAAACAAACAATTAGCAGTGTAATATCACTGATACTAGTTCTGATTTGTCTGTTAAAAGTGTCCTCTAAACAAGCCAGTAAATATACTAGTGAAACAATATGTTCGCCAAAACACTATTTAATCTGCACTTCCCAGTCAAACTTCTGCAATCCTAACTAGAAGTAGACCGATACATCGGCTGATTTTTGCCTGATTATTGCGTTCTTTTTTTTTCTGGTGCTGCAATGGACGATTCATAAGTGCATTCAGTAGCCATGCTGTGAGTACATATTGTATAATATTGTATAATAATCAGTGTAGGCATTGGCCCTAAAGAACTTTATTGATTGATATATATAACCCTAATTATATAAGAAAATGTGCTAGTTTAGATATTATCTCATTGAAGGGTACTAAATCCTTATCTAGGTCCTAAATCATCCATTGCTTCTGCCGTTATATGGAGTCATGTTTAGATGCGTTTTTGAGCATGTATAAAAATTGATCTTCCATCAAAAAGTCACAGTTTTACCATAACTACTATAATCAGCAAAGGTTTAGTGTTTCTCTTCCTTGATGGTACATAATTCAGGTATATTCCACAGAGAACTCATATCCCTTGAGATCCCATTTGTGTGACATGGTGCTGTATAAATAAACTTGATTAAAAAAATTGAATTAAATCAACATAATTGGGACACTCCTTAATGAAGTCAGTGCTCTTCATTCCTCACTGATTTCTAATGCATAAATATGTGAGACTCAGTAAACATGAGTGTATAAGTAATCAGTCCTACAGCACATGTCTGAAGTCTTTATTTTTGCACTTTTTAAGAAAGAACAAAAATGTACCAAACATACGCCATTCTTAAAAGGAATTTAGATTTTCAATCATATGTAAGGCGTACTAACAGTAAATTATATAATTATCTCAAAATAGAATTACATTTAGGTTCATCAGTACATCAAAAATACATCAGTTACATTTGTACTCAATGTAGCTATATAAACCACAGAGGATAAACTACTAATTTTTTTATTTTTGCATTTTTTTGGAAAACAGAAATACAGAAAGCTGCATATTCTAGCTTTACTGTGGCAGTTAACTATTTTTTTTTGTTGATAAATGTTTGGTTTATTGTTTTTTTTTTCTTAATTAATAAAAGTTACCAGTGAAAAACACAATATAATAAACACACAATTTTGTTATTTAAATGCCTTAATTTAGAAATATTTGCATTTCTAAATGCTACAAAGCCATCTGCCTTTAACCTTCAACTCCTCAGAAAAACTTGGTGCTCAAACACAGCACCTAGTGCAAGGCATCATGGGTAAGATTAGAAATAGGATTCAGTCTAAGAGAGGCAGATACTAAAAAAGTATTGCTTTGCTTTTTAGGCAAGCCGGATAAGAAAATATAACAACCGTATTTAAAAATATAAACTTCCTGTATATTCCTGTACAGTATGTTTACTTGTTCATGGGAGGATTTTTTCCCCCCTCATAATAGAAAAGAACAACATAAACATTCTCTTGGCTGGCTTTCGGTCTCTAACATTTCAAGTTAGGTTTAATAGATAGTCTTCAATAAAATCTACTGCAAATTAAAACTTAATATTAGTTTAAAACCTCCACAGTTGTCAATATTTTCTTTTCTTTAGTGGGACAGAGATATTCTTACACATTGTTTTTATCCTCAGTAGCTGTTTTAATCGTCACACATTTTTAGGCATAAGTCTGAATGAGATGTTAATGTTGGCCTCAAATTCAATGGTAACATAAATGTCCAACATGGATCATCCCATTATTAACTAACTTATTTTACTAAAAATCCTAATGCTAATATTTTCATATTTTGATTTTGATAGACTTAAGCAACCCTCTAGATTTAGCAGTGTATATATATATATATATATATATATATATATATATATATATATATATATATATATATATATATGGCAGATTGTGGCATTAAGCAGGGAAGGAGCAATGCTACATTAATGTAGGGCTGCAGCTAACGATTATTTGCAAATTGATTAAGCTGTCGATTATTTTTTCTAATTCATTGATCAATAATTGGATAGCCAAATGTTCTTTAAAGAAGAGTTTTTTACGAAATTAAAGCACGTGAAACACAAACTTTTCCACAATGATAGAAGATATAGACAGACAAAAACATGTTAAATGCAAAATGTTTATATATTTTACTATCTTGGTATCATTACTGTGGGTGTGTAAGCGGGTTGCTCTGTCAGCTAAAAGCATGTTTTAGAGTCGGCATACTAAAGTTAACGAATGATCAATTACCAAATTAGTTGACGATTATTTCAATAATCAATTAATCACGATTAATCTGACAGTTTCAGCCCTACATTAATTTATACTTCATACTCCGTTAGAAAACTACACTGCAAAAAAAGTAGATCTAAATAAGTAATCTTTTGTTAAAATAAGTGCATTTTTTCTTGAATTGAGGACTTAAGTGAGACATTTTACCAATTGAACAAGACAATTTACATTTAAAATAATAAAAAAAAAATATATTGTCTTATTTCAAGTGAATATTATCTAATTATCTTATTTTAACATTAAAAAAATCTGATTCCATTGGCAAATCATCTTATTTACCTACTCAAATTAAGGGTACATAAACTTAATTACATTTTTTTCTACTTATTTCGAGATAGTTTTTGCATTGTAGTCACTTCAGCACGTTCTCCAGCATATGAGAATAATTGAAAACAGTTTGGACTGTATGGCAGAAAGTTTTCGCCTTTTTGAAACCTTTAACTGAAGTTGACTGTTATCTGCTCATGCATCTTAGTTCAATGTGTAATGATTTTGTCCATTTAATATTTTTCCTTATCAAAGCTGGCTCATTAGCTCAGCTGTTCACTGTGCCATGGTGCCACACATGCTTACTCTCACATGTACACAAAGATGCAGTGTTGCTCCCAGCTAGATATTCACCACACTGGAAGAATACTCGGTGTCGGGACAGACCGAGGTTTGTGTTTTGTTGCTAAGGTTTGCATTTCTGTATGTTGTCAGTGTGTGTGTGTGTATATGTGTGAGACTAGTTGTCTATGTATGCTAGACAACAGATCTCATTGTCCCCAGTGGTTTGCTCTTAGAGGAATCAATAGGCATTGTTTGTTTGGCATTCCTAGCTGGCGCTACACTTGGAGAGCCAAATTATATGTAATTGAGGGACAAAAAGTTGAATTTATAGTTCGGAAGACTTACAACTTGATAGTGATAATGATGATGTTGACGCTAAAAGCATGAGAAGGAAAATAACGTCATTATCCAATTAAAAACAAATATATTTGGATTAGACTTCAAGGGCAGGACATGTTTTTACAATTAAAAACGACATAATGACTCTGATTTAGCTTAAAATAAAGTGTTTTCGTTGCTACTCATGGCTGGTGTGTGTCAGCCTTCCAGAACTCAATGTGAGACTAGAGATGGGCTGATATATGCAGCAAACTGTATGTATAAATGTAAAGGTCAGTGAGGATGCTCTGTCTCTCATGGTGCAGTGTGAGCACAAAGGCCAGGGGTGTTGAATTTCCCACTGCGTTGTGTTCTGTGATGACCTGCATCAGCAAACCCTCACCCTGACTCCACCTCGGTCAGAATGCTGAAACTACTTCATTTTACTGAAGAGCAGCAAAACCAGAAGAAGCAGACGCATCTCTCTCCTTCTCGCCGCTGCTGAGGTTGAAAAAAAGAGTCCTGCTTAAAAGTTTTGCTTTGTCAGTAACTCTAATCAACCGCATCATGTGCATAATCACCATATAAATCAATTAGTTATATATTTTTTAATATCAGTGCAAAGTACAAAGTGGGATCTGTTTGTTCCTCTGTCTGTCTTTTTTAAATTTTGGACAAAAATAGAAGAACTTGATTCAATTTAGAGCACAAATTTGAATAATTTCATATCAGGATTTCACAACAGATCAGTTGTTAAGCAGTTTTTATTTGTTCATGTCCTATTCTGTCAAACCAAGTTAATCTGTGGTTATAACGTGGCCCCTCATTAATTTTTCGGGAAGCTTTATCTGGGAGCCTCACCCTCTTTTTTTTTTTTTAAGCTGCACTTCAACATCCCCTCCATACTTTTGCAATACTTAGACAGCTTCAGCTTTTCTAATCAGTTGAGACACGTCTTCATTGCAAAACAGTCTTTTGTGCAGAAGAACACCTCAGCGAATAATCACCAATCAAATTCCGAGGAGGCTTTGTGCTCAGTTTGTGCTTTCTGTTAAAGCTGTGGACGCCGTTGTTGTTGAGCTGATATGTTGTGCAGCTCATTTTGAAGAGAAAGCAAAAGATGTGCAGACTTGTTTGTGATACAGCGCATGCCGTTAAGGCATTTTCAGGTGTCACATGACCGTGAGCTGCCTGTGATGTGCTGATATTGAAGGCATGCTTCTTCTTTTTGCAGCCATGCAATGTTTGGACCACGTGCTCTAAAGAGCAATAGGAAGCACAGAGTCTTTCTTGTTTGCTCTCTCTTGCCAACCAGTTCCTCCATTGTGTCTGACCTTGCATCAGCCCACAAAACCTTGGAGCCCGAGGGAGGACTGCTAAAGATGCTGGAAGAGTTTAGGCCCGACAGTCGCTTTAAAATATGGATGGAGTTTTGACTTCTAGATGAATCCATCCTAAAACATAATGTGCATTTGATGCTTGAAGCAAACTTTTTTTTATTTTATTTTTTATAGATTTGCAGGAGAGAGGTACAGTAAAGTGAAACTTGACAGAGGACTGGGTATGCTGACAGGAAAGCCCACTGAGATGAAGAAATCAATAGGGCAAAAAATGCCCACGTCTGGACATGATGGATCATAAAGAGAGCTCATTATCGCTCCAGAACATTACCCTATACTGCATAGTCACAGATATCCACTTGTCTGACTCAAACAGAAACCATGGAAACTGATTAAGACAGATCTCAGGGGGCATCGGTTTTCAAGCGACGAGCCATTAAACTCTCTCGTTTTCTTAAAGACTGTGGCCTGTGCCTTTCATTTATGAAATCTTTATATAGAATCCTCCGTTCCAACTCATTAAGGGTGTCCAGCTGCGGCTTTTGTTCAGGAGAAGTTGCCGTGTGTGTTTGTGAAGAAGTGTTGGCAGGACACAGTTCAGCCACATTAGTCGCATCAACATCATTTGTTATCAAGCAGGTCTTATAGGGGGCTTGCATGCTTACTTATGACAGGACTGACCTTTAACAAGTGCAAAAATGAAATGATGAAGAACTTCTGTCATGATAGTTCTTGGTGATAGAGATTTAACCAAACAAAAATATGGAAGGCCATAAATTTGAGGATAAAAAGGATCTTGTGACTGTTTTCCAACATTATCATCCACTTTATCGAAATCAGAAAGTTTTTAATAAAAGTCTATTAAAGAAAACTTAACCTGCTACTGTTTCAAACTGCTATAAAGTCCATAAAGGCTGATGAAGTTATTTAAATGAATTGTAATTCATTGATAATTGAAAAAAACTAATTTAGTAATTGATTAATCATTAACTACTCTATACAGCCTCTAACAAATGCCATCAGCTTAAATAGCAAACTGCTCGGCACAGTGGTAAATTGTGCCAAAATTGTACAAAATATATAAAAATTTTGCTTATAAGAACTTTTTTTTTTTCTTTGAATAAGCTCTATCTAGAACTCCCTTAGGTTGTATAGTTTTAGCTTCATGTGATTGAAATTGTTGTATTAAATCTTATAAATGGCACCTTTTGCTCTCTTATTTTATATCCAATAATTGGAAAAATAATCAACAGACTAATCGATTAGCCAAATAATTGTTAGTTGTATCCCCCCTGGATTTAGCCACTAAAATTAGGAACGATTACTGAAACTTAAATTGCATTCTTCATGTTTAGTTTGTTCAAATATGAATTGATAATTTAGCACCAAACTTTTTAAAACATCTTCAACATATCCTAATCTATTTTGTCCAATTACAGACATGGATCTAGAGCTCAAACTAAATAAAATAACTAGTCTTGCAGTCTCCATTCTTTGCAGTCTTAATTACCTCAGATCTGTGCAGAAAGGCTGTGGAACATAAGGGCTCGTTTTACATTCTTAAATATAACTATATCTATACAATATATATATATATATCTTCCTCTTTTTTTAAAACATCATTGAGACTAAAGAATGCTAAATTTAACTCTTCTTCTTCACTGTTGCTGTCAGTGCACCTCATAGAGGTTAAAGCGGGTTTTAACTGACTGCAATTGAATACAATTGATTTTTTTAGATCAAGTTTCAGCTGAAAATCCTCTGCTTCCCGTTACCGGACATTCTCCCAAAATAAATAATAAAAAATAATAATATTAATAAAACACTCCTCCTTTTTCAAGATATGATCTCCTCTGTAGTAAAGCTCGATGCTACGGGTGAATTGTTGAGCGTTGAGCTTCTATGTGCACCTAGGGAAGTGGAGAAGTTGCAGCATTTGTGCATAATCATTGCTCTGCTCCAAAGGTCATTTCTAGCAGTAATAAGTCATTTGTTTAACGGTCATCTAAGGTAAAGAGGCATCATTTTCTGGTTTTCTTTTAAAATGTTGTATATCTGTGTTGCTAGGCGGTCTTAGCTTGGGCTAAGCGGCTGCAGAGCTCTGATATAACTTGTTGCGTTGTTATTAACTTAGCAGGGGTCAGTTGTGCTGTTTAAGGTGCACATGTTTTTCTGGGAAATGCAATTTCTCCGTGCAGAGGGTGTGGTGACTTAGGCTGCTGGTGTGATAAGAGCAGGATGGGCCCCTGGGAGCCCAATCATGCAAATGGTGAGCCAAATGGTATACCAAAAACATTTAAAAACACGCCATTTTTAAAAGAAGCCGGTAGTCGAGAAAACAAGCCTTCCTCTTTTCTAACTTTTGAATGTATCATTCTTTGATGAGCATGATACCGTTGGCAGTTTACGGCAGCGTGATTGATCACCTGTTTATGCGAGAGGCAGCAGTTATATAAATATTAAACAGTGATAATTTTCGCTCTGCGTCTGTGTTTTTCCCCAGCAGCAGTCAGGTCAGCCTCCTGTCTGCTCCCCACCTCCCTCCTCTCTCTCACCTGGCCCTCAGCCCAGAATGTTGCTGCAATTTTCCTCCTTCTGATTGGTCCCCACTCTCACAAGACTTCACAAGAAAGGAAATGACTAAACTCTTCTCCCTCTTGCCCTGCCTCAACTTCCCTCTTTGCTTTCACTCTCTTCCTTTCATTTTTTATTTTTTTTTTCCCTAAACGCTTTTTCTAACTGACCTTTACTTTACGGGGTGGAAAACGACACGAAAATCTGACCTGATCTGATTTTAAAGCCTCAATCGGAAGCTGTGAATGGCTGCTTTGTGGATTTTGTAGTTGTGTGAGTATGAGTGCAATGACACGATGAGCATGCGTTTGTATTTAGTGCACAGGGTATGCTGGAAGCTATTTTTGTTATTGGCTAATGTTGTGGTATTTCAGACATTTTTTTTTTCACTTTTTTCCAGCTGCATAGTGTTGTAGTGGCACGATTTAAAGGTGCAGCAGATAAGAAGTTTATCTGGAAGACACGAGGCAGAGAAAAACACGATTTTTTTTTTAGTGGCCGTCATTAGACTAATTTGTTTGTCTTTCCCTCTCTCCTCAGAGGAAGTGCCTTCCCTGATGTCTGCTGCAGCTTTGACCTGCTTCTACAGCTGAAGCTCCATCCCCCTCTCCCCTTGCTCGCTCGCTTGCTGCCACAGTTCTAAGAGTAAAAGGACAACGACCACACCTTTCCCCAGTTTCTCCACCATCAGCATCCACTCCAGCATCAGCCCTCCCCACCAGACGGCCCTGCTGCTCACTACCAGCTGACCAGCCTTACCACTGCACCACCAGGCCCCACAAACAGCATTTCACCCACCTTGCCTTTCACCATCGCCTTCAACCCCTTGAGGCCTCCGCTCAGATCTCAGTGTCCTTAACTTTCCTGAAGCAGACTTTATAGACTGTCACCTTTGTTGCCTGCTTCACTGCACCCAACCAGAGGGCTCTCAGTTTGGACGTTGCATAAGAAAGTAAGCAATAAACTAAAAGAGTGAAGAGGGACACATTTGTAGGCTCCTGGATATCAGATCTTTGCCGGGTGTTGCGTGCATCAGGAAAATGACCCATTAACGTCCTCAGCAAACACTGTCCTGCAGCATTTCACCAATCGCATTTTTCTGAATGTTTTATTTCAAATAATCACAAGCAGCAAAGATATAAAGGAAACATTTTTTTTTTTAAAAAAAAAAGGACATTTGTGGATTTAAAACACTAGAAGTACTTTATCCGCACCTGACGTGTCTCTGTTAAGAACACCTTTTGCCTGCGTGTTGCCATGGCCATGAACATAGCACACATCCGCGACACAAAGTGGCTGACACTGGAAGTATGCCGAGAGTTTCAGAGGGGCACTTGCTCACGCTCCGACCAGGAGTGCAAGTTCGCCCATCCGGCGAAGAGCTGCCAGGTGGACAACGGGCGGGTGATTGCTTGCTTCGATTCACTTAAGGTAAGAGAGAGCGAAGCTACATCTCAGTAAGGCAGGCTGTTCTAAAATAAGTGGCTTAAACACCATTTGAGGAACTTCGCTGAGTTAGAAACTGAAACTTGTTTTCAGATTTAGCATCCGGTCACAACATGGCTTATTTTAGCGCTACGCCTTCCTGGCTATATGAGTCTGCTTCTAGCACTTAAGAAAAAGGAAGCTTATTTTTTTTCTTATTAAAAATGGCTTTTTTTTTCTAAAGAAGCAGTAATGGTAGATGTAACCTCTGGAATGGGCGACATTTTCTGACCTGTTGTCTGCTGATGGGTTGAGAATTTAATTAGCAGCTGTTGGACTTTACATCCACATAGCAACTTTAATTTTTTATTAATTTCCCCTCCTCTCAGAAATGAAAACAATGCCAGTAGTTTGACAAAAAATTACTCAAACAGGCTGTCTTGTCTGCTGACTGTATCAATGCCCTGAGTATTTCACATTTCAGTAGCTGTAGAGGAGTGAAGCAATCGCATCGTTCAAACCACTTCCTGTGTAAAAGCCTAAGGGCTGCCACAGGAGGTTGGCGTGAGTATCTCTATAAGCATATCTGTGTCTTTTAGAGTACAGTTGGAGACAGATTTTCAACATGGGAGCAAAAAGTTTGCAAGTTTGAACAAAAATAGTAAACACTTTCCTTTCTTGGCCATTCCTGGTTAAGAAGTCTAACAGTCTTTCCAGAATGACACAAAAAATAAAGGTTTAGATTTGGTGTTTTGCTTGATTTTACCTCTATGACTAATGAGTAGGTTAGGATTAAAAATAAGACCGAGCTGTTAACCCTTTATAGGGCACACAGTGAAATACTTTAAAAATCCACACTTCAAGCCAACAGTGTTATTGGAATCCAGGACAAGACCTTATTACCTTCGAAACATTAAAAAAATATGGATATTTTGATGGCAAAAATGAATGTCGATGTGATAACAAGAAACACCAACTTGCCTGAATATATGAAGAAAAATAACAAAAGTGCTTCTATAAGAAATTCATGAAAAACACTTGAGTGTTTGAGTGAAAGAAACAATTTTTTTGTTACAACATAACCTTAGAGGCATTAATGCTGATACTGGCACATTGTTTAGTTTAAAAAACCTAAATATAATTGTTAACTAGGCTTGTTAACTTTTTAATAACTTTTGATTTAGCCTTTTCCCTTTTTTCTTGACTTCTTTTGTTTTAGCTTTATTTACAGTAGGTAATATATCACTCAAGTGTTCATCTAATTGGTCAAATGCCAAAATAAGATGTAAAGCCATGTAGCAGTATCTTTCCTGAATGGCTGGATATAGATCTTGTGCTTCTAGACCTCACTGAGGGACGGGGGGGGGACTCCATTTTTAAGGGGTATGCCAGGGATCAAAAACAGTAACTTGCACTATAAAGGGTTAAAGTTCACTCAAAAATAAGAGTTTATAAAGGGATTTAGACAAGAAAAAAGCCGAATGCATGATTAGTAAATGTAGTTTTGGTGCATCTATTACATTAATGGTGACTGCTAAATCATTTTACAACCTCTGTCTATTGAATTATAACAAACACAACAATTTTACAGGTTTGTGTTTATTTCCTTCCATTACCTTGCTGTAGAGATGCGGCTATGTTACCAGAAATTAACTGCAGGATTAAAACCAATCAATAAGCCAATTTTCCTCTGTATAGCTCTTATAGGTCGTGCAACATTTAATCTCTATAAACACATAAACCAGAAGTATTTACTATTATGAACTTGAGTTGAACAAAAATATTTAGTCACGGTTAAGTAAAAAAAAAGATCTGTATTCCATGCAGATCAAATTTTAAAACAATGTTTTAATTTGACCGGCACATTTATTAAATGTAGAAAGAATGTTGACATTCTGTATCGGCCCCACCAGAGTGCTGACTTGAATCTGATACAGAACTGAGGTGGGAGTTAAAGATAAGGGTGATGGCAAAGAAGCCTTTTAACAGACTAGGAGCTCATCACCAGAAAGGAATCATTTAGATAGCAGTGAAAACATGCAAAACTCTGCTCAGCATTCCTTAAAAAAGGTTTGATTGTTTTAATGGCAATGAAGATTTACCATTGACAACTAGGTAGAATAGAAATGATTCTTAAATGTCATTAATGTCATTAATGTCATTAAAAAACAATTATATTAATAGAGATTATTTATTTTTATTAAAACTAAAACTCATTTTAAATTGTGTTTTTGTCATTGGATAGATGTAAGTATCAGAACCAAAGTTCTGAGTGGAATAAAATGTACTGTAAATTTAAAACTTGCTTGTATGCTTGTAGTTTCTTAATTTTCTTCTGTAATCCTCTATAAGGTCAGACCTTATTGGAAATCAGTAAAAGTCGAAAAAGTCCATCTTGATATGATACATCTATGAATAAAAGGTTGTAATTGGCAAAATATATCAATAAATGTTAACTAGGACAGCAGAAATGTCTGCAGCCAATCTAGAGAGTTCTAACTGCTACAAAAACATGACAGCATACTCCTGACTATTTTGAGGTCACAGTCCCCTCAGTTTTACAGCAATGGCATGTCATTTGAGCAGGAAGCTCTTACCATCTATCTATAGGTTTATATATTGTCTTCTGTACTAAAAAACAGGCCATCAGGAAACCAGGCAACTCTTAAGTGTCTATTTGCAAATCCCAAAAGGAATTAATTTATTAGTTTAAAAAAATTTTCACTGGGACTTGCGCTGATCTTTTTTAAATCGTTTGTCCCAGTTTCTTTTCTGAACCAGAGCAGTTCTTTGCAGTGGAAAGAAGCAAATTGAGCAAAAAGATTAAAAAAATTACAAAAAGGAAGCCTGTTGATTAGTCGAACACCTAAAATGCAAATGCAAAGACATATCTGCATTGCAACACATAAGTGAGGTTTGCACAGACCCACAGACATATTCACCGACAGCAAGTTGTCCTACTTTAATTTATTGTTGAAATAGGACAAACTCTCCAGTGAGCACCGTTACAACAGGCCATATTGCTCTCCTTTTACTTGTCTCGCTCTCACATCAGTGCATCCACTTGGACGTGTGCACAAGCTCCTGGCCCATGAGAGCGGATCGACCTTCTTCTTGAGAAGTATATAATTAGAACAGGTCTCACATGATCACCAGTGCATTGCTGAGCAGGTCACACCCAAACCGAGTCATTTCCCCAACATCCACTCTCTATCTCTTTTTAGCCTGCATTTCATGTCTTACACGTGCACACAGCCATGCTCTGAGATAACGCACACTCTATGCACATGGTGCCTCTAGTTTACACAAGCAGAAAACATTAAGGAGTTATCTTTTTTTCAAAAACCAACAAACGAAAAAACACGCTTTTGGTTTCCATGTCATCACTTTTGGATTATAAAGCTTCCTTTTAGAGAGCGTTTAAGTAGACCGCAGCATTTGTGCATGTGTGCAGTTGTGTTTGAATTTTCTCCCGCCTTAGACTTGGCCTTAACCCCAGAGTGCAGCCCTCTCTTTGCTCGTCTATCTGGTTGGTGCAGCACGGACAGCTCAGCTATGTTGAAACAGGGTAAATATTTAGAGAGGGATAATGGGAGCCTGGACTCCTAGATTTAAATTCAGCTTTGTAACTTTGTCTGTTGATGATTAACGCACCGATCAGATCGGGTGGGCAGAATATCCTGATTTGGAATCTGTATAAACATTGTGGCTTGTAGTTAAAGCTGAAATAAGCTGCAGGTCAATTAATTAGAGCAGTTGTTTACATGCTCTGCCACATCCTGCTCTGATACCGAGTTCAAAGTAGGTGCTCTATGGTATTTTAGCGAAGGAAAGACGGATTTTATTCTTTCAATATTCATCTGTGCTTTCTGTTGATAAGTCTAATTGCATCTGCAGAATCATGGAAGTAAATGAATGCCTTGTTAGAAAAAATGAAACTTGAGTGTGCAGTAATTGATCAAGCTTTCTGCTTTAATGGAACTTGTTGTTGCTTGCTCTCATACTTGCTGGCCTTCTTCTTGTTGATATCCCATGCGGTCGGGTTCTTGCCTCCTTTAGTCCAGGCCACACCCATCGAGAGCACAGCTCACGTTACACACTGCTGAGATCTCGTTTAACCCTGCAGACACATAGCGTATATATAAATATATATATGTATGTATGTTTGCGTGAATATATGTATGTGTATATATATTTGTTTATATATATATGTATATGTATGCATATTTACACATAAAAACCTGTGTTGATAGGAGGGCTGCCATCTGGTCTTTGATATAAACTTATTAGCAAAAGCAGCTCCTTTTGATTTTACTTCAATAGTACCAGTGACAAAATGGAGTGGTTAAAAGCATGAAGAAGGGTTTGAATATGCTTTGATGTCTTGTACACATCTTCTGTCTAAAAATTACCACTGTGGTCAATTCAGAAAATAAAAAGTGGCAAAAATATGTGCATGCATATGCTGCACTTATCACGGCTGCTCTGAGCCAAAATTCGAATCATTTCATCTGGAGTCCAAACAACATATATCTGGACAGGTGATGCATTTTGGTTCCTCAGACACATTTTCAGGATGACTTTTTCAAAGCTCTGAGTAAGATTGGTGTCAACATAACAAGAACTACCTAACTTGCCTGATGCTGCTGACTGACTTGGTTAAAAAATATTATAAAAACGTGGCTGAAATAATTGGGCTACAATGGATCAGAAAAAAAATCAACTCTCTTGTTATCTGGACCAATGACATGAAAATATGTCTGAATGCAGATTAAATGGCAAGCAAAAAAGCTATTAAAATAAAAGCATCCACTCATAACCCAAAAGAAAAATAAACATATGGATCAACACAGGTTGAAATAAGTGTACAAAATATTGTACATGATAATTTCTTTAGATACCATTCTTTATTCTAACAGATTTATCTTATGTCTCAAATAAACACTTTTGCATACATCTGTACAGTTCAGTCTTATTTCAAATTAAACCTCCTTATAGGCTCTTTA